GCACCTAACCAATATTACTTTATTAATGGCCAGTAAGGTGCAGCTACTTGCATTTACTTTCCCTTAAATCAGGTCTTGATCTGGATTTTGTGGGCCAGTGTGGAAACGCTAAGACCCGCAACTGCAATACAGATTAGGTGCCTCACATGACACCGGCCACATTTGATTCACGACCCCTCTATCCTTTGATCTACTGCCCGTCGAGTAAGAATCCTCAAATAACTGTCACCACAAATGATGGGTCCTTGACAACGTGCCACTGACCCGGAGCAGGATGGTGCTGACTTGAGTCGCTTTAATTCGAGTGCGAGCGGCGCCTCTGTGCCCAGAGAACCGAGACGTCCTTTGGGGCCGGCTGGCTTCCGAAACTCCTTGTTATTGCATTTTATCTCCACTGTGTCGAGCGGCTTGCTCAGCTGTCCTCAGAGGAACCAATTTCAGTCTTACTCCCTATTATGGAGCATTACTGTCTGCTCTGCTGTTAGTGTCAACAAGAAGAAGGAGAAGGAGAAAGAGAAAGAGAGCGTTTTCTGTTTGCAGCCTCAGAATACAGTTCAGATGTACAGTAGAGCAAATCCCCCAAAACAGCAGAAAACGCAGCCCTGATGAAAGGTCGGCACTGCATCTTACACGTCCCAAGCACATGATGGGATATGTTATGATACCTCCGGCAGTGCCCTAAGGAGCAGTGGCTCGCTGCGCTCCAGGGAATACAGTGGTATTAAACTGCACATTGCTTACTTGTTGTTTAGAGTTTGTATTTAACATTTTTTATATCTGTGTATTTTATGTGCCTTTTGAGTAAACTGGAGCCGTCTGGAGCCGGGTTCGTCTCACTGCATGTTAGATGACACTAAAATGGCACGACACACAGGTGCAACCACACTGACTTACAGGGAATCCAGAAAGTCCAGTGTTCGTGCAGATTTTACCGTAAGAATGCACAGGTCTGCTCGCCCCATGGCTTTTTCCAGCTCACCAGCCTAACATTTGTAACACACTGGATCAGTATGCAGAAACACTTTATAATGGTTTTGTTTGCACTGTGCCTGCCACATCTCCTTCTGCAAATAGTTTCACATCAGCCTCTAGAGGCTTGAACCCTTTGGACACTGAGGACCATGGTTAGTTATCCCACAGTTGTATGAAATACATTTCTCAGCCTGCAAAAGTGCAAGCCGTTTAATGTGGGCACATCCCAGGACGCTTTTTGACAAATATCCCCCAAGCCTTTGTTGACAGAGGGATTTAAAACAGCCCCCAAGCTTATCGCCATAGCACTGCCTGTCCCAGAGGCCTGGAAAGCATTCCTGTCAGGCAAACAGCATTCTCTCCATTCCACATTAATCAGACCTCCAAATACTCACCCACTTTGGTAGCAAAAACTGGTGAGCTGGGTAGCAACATTTCTTCTGTCGGGTGTAAATCTCTGTTGACTTTCATATTAAGCTTGGAGGCAGTCTGAGGTGAAAAGCAGAAATCTTTTAAATCTGACTGCTGTGGAATTATACCGAACAGCAATACAGAGAGTCTGATAACCAGTCTAGTTGAATTTAACTGTACAGCATATGGCATGGACACTTAATAACTGGCAGTAAAATATCATTTATTATAGTTATTGAAGCAGGGTACCAGAAGTAATAATAACAGTTTATTTCCATACATAAATATTTTCATGATATTGCATGATTTCTTTACTTTAAATCGCTGGATTGTGGCTATTCCTGAACGCGGCTCTTGGGTGCTCATCAGTTCTTGCTTTAAACCAGGTCTTTTCTTTATTGGAAACTGAGGATGATAAAAATATTCACACTTCTCTGCTCTCTAAGTGGCTTCAGTGCCCCTCGTGGAAAGCCTGCTAAAAGAATGTGTGCCAGGAGACACTCTCGTGAGCCGTGCTGTGCGTCATAAACTCCCAGCCGTCTGTACGGGCGGTCCCGCTGCTGGCGGAGCGAGCCCAGCTGGTTCCGTTTCTCTGGGCTGCATCTGGATCGATCGGAGAGAGGCGTCGGACACCCGTTATGCTGCGACAGAGGCCCAGGTGTGGCGGGAGAAAGCTTGACAGATTCAGGAGCAGCTCAGGTGATGTTTCGACTCCCATTAGACAGCTGAGCTTCGTAGCTCGGCGGGGTCGCTCCCGGCGGCCGTCTCCGCAGGACTCATTAGCTCTGCCTTGCGTAAACTTAACAAAGGGGAGCAGCCTGCTTAGAGAATCTAAAGCTTTTCTCTAAAAGGCGGAGGGGACAGTAAGCAGAGGTGTGTCACACCGCAGGCTTAGCCTGTGTGGCTCAGTGTGCAAAGTCCTGAGTCAGACCGTGGGAAAAGAAAGTGCTATTAGTTTTAAGCGAAGTGCATGAGCCAGACAGCAGTGGAATAATAGAAACAAGTTTCAAGAGTGCCCAAGGCCAAACGGCTGGGAACATTTATGGGCCTCGCTCAAGAGCCCAATGGTGAAATTGCTCTGCCGACACCGGGATTTGAACCGACGACCTTCCAGTCATGGCACAGAGTCACATAACACCACAGACAATTAGCATCAGTTTCATTAATATAATAGAACAATCCTGTGGTATGTTCATCTGGTTTGTCCTATATGTCCTTCTCAGGTGAATTTCTCACAGTAAACTACTGTTTATAGTACAACTTGTGTCACCTGTTTGAATCCAGGGGGGTGTATCATGAAAGAGGATATCTCAGTCAGATGGGTTAACTTAAGCTAGAAGTCGTGATTGTCCAATAGGAGTTTAGGTAAGTAACATTCCTATTGGACAATCATGACTTTTAGCTTAAGTTAACCCAGCTAACTGTGAAATCCTGCTTTGTGGAACACCCTGCTGGTCTTGTTTCTTTGGTATGGAAAGTTGGAGATTATATATGTTTTTTTCTCAGTACTTCAGACTTTGGGTGAGAACATCTATGATGTTTCCTTTAAAATCTGTCTGAGGCTTTGGGGCAGTGGCACGCAGGCCTACAGTATTAGCTTGGGTGGTTCCATTCTGTTCTGTAATCAGCAATCAAAAGCAACAGCATTACATTGCTCTAGGCTGGAAACCCAGTTATTTCATTAAATTATTTTCATACCAGCTCAGTTACATTAAAATTTAATCACTAAATTATCAGCTAGTAAGCATTTTGTTCGTCACACGCATGGTTTGATTTTGTTATTAAATTGCCCATTATAAGTCAAGACATAAATTTGTATTGATGTTCTGAACGTTTAAACATGAATTATTGTGCAACAGTTTGGTGCAATTAAAGAAAGCAGTGAAAAATGCACCATATTTATTGGTGCATTAAGTTCCTGCACAATAATGAACTTTCAAATAACAGGAATTGAAATGAATGTGTACGGCGGTGGTGTAGTGATTCAATACGTGAGCATCTCCCCTCGCAGGACGGGGACTTGGATCTCTGTCTATGAAGTACGCCTGTCTGCCTGGGTTATTATCTCACACTCCAGATTACTGGGTTAGGTAAAGTCTTTGACTTGGGATGGCGCCCCCTTCAGGGCATTCCCCGCCTGCGTGCTCTGGGGTCAGCCATGGCGCTGTGCTGGGTTAGGGATACGGAAGATGGATGGATGGCTTCCTATGTCAGACCCTGCAGTGGCATAGACTGTCTCCACCCTTTCAGCAAAGACGCTTCCTCCGCAAACTTTTACCCTGATCTGGAGCTGGAACCTTGAGCTGCTGCCGACTGTCAGCCCAGTATACTTACTTTAAATAAACTTGGCTGACTTTGTTTGAATGTGGACGCAGGTGGCTGTTTTGGTCTATTAGGTCCAATAACCTCAGCTGAGATCCTCCCCTGAGGCTCGTCTTAGACGTTTGCCACATGATCAGAGGAGACAGCTGAATGCAAACTAGGAAAAGAAATCTGTGTGTAAACATCCAAGATTAACTTGTTCAGAATGCTGGACTAATGTAACATGTTTGCTAGCTATATGTGCTGTGGGTGTCCTATCCCATATTATTCCGCCGTAGCATTACGTTTCGTAGCATTGCATTGTATAGATTGTGCTTACATTTACTTAAGGATTTTTCATAATATCATGCTCAAAATGTTCAATAAGAACAACTGATACCAGTGGTAGAACTTTATATATTAGATACTTAGAAATTAGATGATTCCTTAAAATTCCATTGGGGTAATTGAGTTAAATTAAGAGGCAATGAGCTTTTAATGTGAATCTGATTTTTTAAATAGCCCTGTAGAAGTCAATTACACTGGCCCCTTCTCATGAGGAGGTTTACATTGCGAAGTAAATCACTAAATCTCCTCCGGGGAACCTCCGCTGCAGTCACAGCAACAACTGAAATAAACAAGCAGAATTAACCTTTTGTGGTAGTCCTGCCATTACTGCCTGATCGTGGCCTGTATTGTAATGCATCCAAATCACTGAGCTGTGGCCTGTGTACTTTCACCCATCCATGATGTTTGTTGCCTCTTATGAATTTTTGAAATGGATATTGTTGTGTTTTAGCCTAGTGGGGGTTTTACTTGCACAAAATAGTTCTGAGGGCAGAACAAAAAATGATTGGTTCAGAGAGATAGCGAATCATATTGTAGAGAAGGTGGATCCAAGCAATTAGAGTAGGCCGGATCAAGACATCTGATTGGTTGGTCCCACCTCCTCTAGCTGCTTGGAGCCACCTCCTTAACAATCTGATTGGTTATCTCTCTGAACCAATCATTCTTCTTTCTGCCCTCAGAACATTTTTGTATAAGTAAAACTCTCGTGAGCGTTTTTTTGGATGGGAAAAAGTAGTAGCAATTATGAGATTCTGTTTTTAATTTTAAGTTTCCTTTCTTAGAGGGAAGACAACTGAACAAATGAACAAATTGTCCTGACACGAGTCATTGTTGATTTTACTGTTGTAGGGGAAAGACTCTAGAGCGACAGATAAGGGCGTTGCCATGGTGCTGAAGGAGATACCAAGTAAAGCATCTTCAGAAGGAAAACCCCTCCTCACAGTGACAACCAAGGTGGGCAGAACCATTGCAGAGACCCAGCAGAAAGTAATTCCATGTTTGATAGCTAAAAAAAACAATAACATGGTCAGTAAGATTTTCAAAAACCATTTTCAAAACTCTATTATAGCATATAAATGAATCACACATTCTAAAAGCTACTGTTTCAGTTTAATCAAAACACCTAAATGTGTTTTAAACTGTCTGATGTGGACATAAATTTTTGTCAGTAATATACAGAGGAAACGCCTCTCGGTGACTCCGGAACATTCCAGAGTTTGTTGCTGGAAGAGCTAAAGCAGGTTAAGTTAGGCACTGGGCGATATTTCATGGCATCTTCCCTCTCCTTTGAAATCATTGCACACATCAACATGCAGTTAATATCTCTTATTTGCCAAACACACTGTATCTTACAGCCATCTCTGATGATGCTTTGGCCTTTTCTTTATTCATTTTAATAAAAGCTCTCCTGGCGTGTTGATTTATGATGTAATTTCTTGTACTGTAGCATAATTATGCATTGGACAAACAGGTAAAATTGTTTGACACCTTTCTGTGCGAAAGCCTTAAATAAATCAATTACATCCATCCTCTTTATTGCAGTATCCTGTACTGTGCTGTTAAACTGCCTCATTTTCGAGGGTGATGTGTTTTTGATTAATTTCTGCACAGTTCTATACATTATGTAATGTAGTACAATTATACATTTTTTGAATGTTAAAAGCTGCTTTATTGTTATTCCCTGCCTGTGTTACCCACACCTTTTCTCCTCCACGTTGCGCCATGACTTGTGTGGCCCTCTCTGATTGAGCTGCTTCTGCCACTTCCGCCTCTGTTCCCTGGAAGCCATCAGTGAAGTGCGTTCCCTTCTTAGTTCAGCCAGCTTTCCCCCTATCCTGTGACTCTTTGCTCCTCATTTAGGTCTTTATTTTGCTTTCAGTGCCTGTTTTGTGTGCCCCCCCCCCCTTCCCCCCCTCTATCCATCATTAGGCATTCTGGATATCGACATGCGTGTAAAGGTGCTTGTCATGTGAACAAAGGTACGGACGGCCGCTCTGCCCAGTTCTTTGGCTTCTGATAAAGGACCCCAGAATGAATCTGGGCTGTTGTTTTGCCTTTTTGTTAGGTGACATTTACGACATTGTGTTATTCCCCGTCAGGGCTATGGAGTCAGCGATGGGCAAATTAGATCGGTGCCCTATGACGATTACGGAAGCCCATCATTTAGAGGATTGACTATAAAAGTGTAACACCCACGAGGGCCTAATTATAAATGCATTCCAGATGTCCCTCATTACATAGGGCTCTGCTTTTTACCCTCCACCGCTGAAAATTCGTGTGAATGTAACCAGTTCAGGGCTCCCTTGACAACAACATCTAAGACATGGCACTTGGAGTCATGCCCAGGCAGAACAATTATCCGAAGTTTTCCATTACATAATTCCAGGGTTATCCCTCAAGCCCTGGTGAGCCGAGTGCCACACGCAGGACTCGAGCATAAAGTACAATCAGCTAAAATAGTTTTTGCACCCAAAGGGGAAGCAGGGGCTGTAAACAAGCCCATTACATTATAGGCTGATGCGGGTCTGAGACTCGGGGATTTTTGGCTGCTTGGTAATGGTCCACGGGAAGCACAAAACACTTTCACTGAAGTATTTTCTTCCACGTTAACGAGACGGGCAACTGCTAACATGAGGAGGTCATGCATGCAAATGATGCAAATATGCGTAACGTGCCGGCAGTCTGCAATCCATCTGGTATTAGGACTGGTTAATGCAAAAAGTTACCAGTTACGATTGCTGCTTGTAATTGTTAATGAACTTCATTTTGTTTTGTTTTACTTACCTTAACTGGTCGTTGATTTAACAGCTGAAAACTACTAACACCTTTTCTTCATCATCTATGCGTGTTTAACAGTTTAGGGCAGTACAAAGGTGCTGAATTTCAGTGTTTTTCCCATGCTGTTGGGTTTCTGGTTTCCCCCTACAGTCCGAAAACGTACTAGTGAATTGCAGTTGGCAAATTGTGAATGGTGTGCGTACCCTGAAATGGGTAGGCACCCTGTCCTGGGTTACTTCCTGCTTTGTACCCATAGCTTCCAGCATAGGCTCTGGACCCCTGCATAGAGCAGGCGGGTACGGGGAATGGATGTTTAAGGACTTCTTACTTGTGCTTTGAAATAGTGTAAAATAACTTTTTAATTTAACCTTTAAACAGTTTATCTCAGAAAAGTTTTTTTCAAGAATTATTGTATTAGCGTATGTCTTGCTCACACATGCGGCAGGTAGATTAATGTACAGTACCACACACATGCAGAAAACTGAGAATGACGACTAGCATGGTTTTGTGAGAGAACCTCCAGAAAGCGTTTTTTTTTTTTTTTAAAGAAACTGTTTTCTGTCGGGTAGTAAACTTTCACCCTAATCAGCACCTTGAGAAGTCCATTTTTGTTGTTTTGATGTTGATTAGCTTCACAAATGTATGAAAAACAGGGATCCAAAGTTCATTTAAAAGCCATACTAATCATATGTAGTGTACACTGCAAAACATTACTGCATTTTATTTATTATTTTTTATGCACAATATTGCAAATACTACAAATGTTTCAGTCTATTGCAGTTTAATCTTTTATTCAATATAAATTTATTGGTGCATATATTCCAATTTGACATTCTGAACAATGTTGGACCTGCTAAAATGAAAGTGCTGTGTTAATTATTCAACTTTTAATTACAGTCTGAAATGTGATAGTTACATTATCCCTGATTTGCATTCTGCATGTGCTTTGCTATCATTTATTTATTCTCGCCTCTTATAATAATGTGTGTAATTCCAGAATGAATGAAGGTGTGCTGACATTATGAAGATACTCTTCCTTTTTCAGTTCATCTTCGCCATTTGCACTTGATTATCAAAAGATTGCCCATATGAACAGATGTGCAGTCAGCAGTCTAGGATAGAGTTTGATATTGGGGGTGACACTACTCAATAATTAATACAAATGTGTATTTATTGGGGGAATGAATTAACCTAATTAAGTATTGGGGGGCATGTCCCCCCTGTCCTCCCCATCCCACCCGGTCTGGGCCAACATAAAGGTAGGGGAGTAAGGATGATTTTAAGGCCCCCGGAGTGACAGGGGCCCTAAAAAATTGGGAGCATAATTGGAATGGTCTGGGGTGGGGGCCAATGTAATACGCATTCATGGTATCCAGTTCTGCACCACTGCGTGAAGTGATTTGAAATATGAAAGGTTATATATGGAAATGCCATAGTCATCGGTGGTTTCCAAATACGGGTTTCGGAATTGTGGAGGCACTGTGATGATGTCCATGGGTAACGGAATTACAGTAGCGTGACGTTACGATAATTCCTAAGTGAGTCATTTTGCTTCTCTGAGATACAGAAGTATCAGTGTCTTTGCACAAACGTGAGAGGTGACGAGAACGTAACAGTCTTGTTACATCAGCTGTCCAGCTGTTCGTTCTGCAGCTGTACAGTCATCTAGCTGTTTTACTTTTACGCTTATTTTCTGATTGACACAGTGGTTCTTTATTAATGCCAACAGTTCTCTTATATTTGTGGGGAAAGTGCTTAAATGCTGGGGGTCTAAAAAGACACTTGAATTTTTGTTCTCAGGAGCCTTATTTTGGCACCAATTACAAAGAAGCACCGTTTTTTTATATAAGGAAGGCTTAATAATAGCATATTATAAAGCCAAAATGGGAAACTTCGTGTGCTGTCTCTGCTGCTACAGTTCATTGCCATGATAGACATTTTAAATGCTCCTGTTACTAATACATAGTTATTGAGAAGTTGTTCAATAAAATCAGCAACACAGTGTTATTCTTGCATATTTAATTATTTATTAACATATCCAGACCTCACGTGGGCTTGCTATTAAACTACTGTAATACAGGTCATTGGTCTAGCATGGGCGTTTCAAAGTTAGTAATGAATATTTTTTTAAAGCCTAATAACTTTCATTCATCTACAGAGAGCAAGAAAATGCCATTTTTGGAAATATATATACTCTGTATATATATCACACAATAACTTTCATTCATCTACAGAGAGCAAGAAAATGCCATTTTTGGAAATATATATACTCTATATATATATATCACACAATAACTTTCATTCATCTACAGAGAGCAAGAAAATGCCACCTGTGATGGAAATATCCATCTGTCTCCATCTTTTTCCATAGCTGGGGCAGTAGCGGTGGAGGCAAGGGGGTGGGACCCTCACGGCAGGGGGCCTATGGCAGAGGTGCAGCAAAATATACCAAGGGGACCCCTCCACCCCCAGCACATTTTACACAAGTGCCCCTTTTGATACCTGAGAGTCACGCAAAATTTGAGTTTTTATTTGAGTGGAAACCACCCCCCTCCCTCATGAGACCCCCTCCCTGCAGCCTATCCCAGAAGCTATGGGTGCAAGACAGGAATAATAATAATGTATTTCATTTGTAGCATTTTTCAAGATCTCAAAGATGCTTACTAGAATAAAGGTGAAGTGGCACTGGATGGGGCACCTACCCATCACAGGGCACACTCCCGACTAATTCGTCATACCATGTTTTTGGATTGTGAAAATCTATTGACAATATGGGGAGAACGCCACATTCTCAACACTCTATGCCAACTGCACACACATAGAGTTAGGAAACCTGAACCCTGCCAGTGCTGACCACTGTACCAGCGTGCCACCCTGCTTATGGAAACCTGCCAGTGCTAACCACTGTACCAGCGTGCCACCCTGCTAATGGAAACCTGCCAGTGCTAACCACTGTACCAGCATGCCATCCTGCTTATGGAAACCTGCCAGTGCTAACCACTGTACCAACATCCCGTCCTGCTTCTGCAAACCTGCCAGTGCTAACCACTGTACAAGGAGAAATAAATCAGCCGTAGGGCACCCTGTCAAAATAAAGTTCGAATACTACTGCCTTAGACCATAGTGGCTCTCCATTCTTTATTTTTTGAATTTATGATTCAAATTATCTTCCATAAGATCTTCTTTCAGCTGCACATTACTACTTCAGGCATTTTTGATGGGAAAAATACGTAAGACTTTCTTAAATCATGTGTTTCATTGTGTCTGAAGCAGTTGATGACAAAGGGAAGGAAGGTCAACAGTAATATTTGTGTCTGCAGAAGGTTCAGTATATAGAAAGTGCAGTAGACAGTGCAGTAGACAGTGCAGTAGTATGTATGAAGCACCATGTCTGCATTCCCCACTGATATTTTCATATTTGATGGTTGTCTTTCTAATCTGAGATATGCTTTGTAAAAAATGCTCGATGAATAAACACGTAGATGTTATTGTATAGGAAATTATGGGGTGCTTTTAGCTCAAAGGAACTAAAATAAAAAAACATGGGTTGGCTTGACCTGAATTATGTTGCATGAAGCAAATAAGCTAAATTTATCAATATACAGTACCAAGAACTGATATAGGCTTGACTGATAGCAGAGTATGATTTATTTTAAACTGTTATATTTTTCATTGTAGATGTACATATGTTTATGTGTATATTATTCATTTTGTAATATTTATGCTATTTGGAAATGCTGAATTAGACTGTCGTCCAGAACAGTAACCATATGCAGGAGAACTATTGATGCTCAGAACAATTTGCAGAAAAATGATGGAACAAAACTTCTGAAGGAATAATACTGGCGATGCCGCTCCCCGCAGGGGGAGAGATGCGTAGGGGAAACACGAAGAAATGTAAGGGCGCAAGTGCTCTTTTCAGACAACAGGTGGCATATAAAAAGACCGAATTTGGAGGCCTTCTGCATGGCTTACTGAGCACAAGAAGAGGTGGGTGGTGACTGATGGCTTTCTTGTGATTGTAGGCAGGGCCGCAGTTGCAGGGCATCTTCTCCAGCAGTTGCAGTGCCACCGTGAGCCCTTAAGAGTTGATAGACAGACGGTCTGCCAGGACTGCGCTCATATTTTGATTGTGTCTGCGAACTGGCTGGGTTAACAACTTTGGTCAGCTGACTGGCGTGAGATTTTCAGTTTGACACAAGTCTGCACGCATTTACGTATATGCATGAGTTTTACTACCTTGTAAATAGTATGTAGGGTTTGCAACCTACCCCAATGTTTTTGATGTAGCAAAGTTTAGGTTTATAATGGAATAACAGAGGTTTGCCATAAGATTTCTTGCGTGAACGTGAGAGTCTGGAAGCGTGTCACGGCAGATGCGTGTGAGTTAGTGAGGTGCATGTAAACATCACCGTAAGGAAAGACCCCCAAATCTTGCTGTTTTCACTGGGACTTGCTTTAAAATTGAGGGAAGAAGAGGCTACGTTGGTGGTTAATGGGCTGAGCGCTGGAAGCAGAGCAGTAGCTGCAATGGTGGGAAGTCACTCGAACCGCTGTGCAATCTGGTCATCTTTCTACTCATGCAGAGAGGAGGAATGGTGCCACGTGTGCTGATTTATGAGGAATACCCCTGTTCGGTTCCTGTTCCAGCTGGTGACTGAGCAGCAAGAGAGCCGGCCCCTATTGAGCCCCTCCATTGATGACTTCCTCTGTGAAACAAAGTGTGACGCGGCCACACGCCCTGTGACGTCCAACACGGCAGGTACCGTGCCTGCAGCTTCCCGTTTTTTAGAGATGCTTCTCTCCCCACAATTTTCCTGTTGTTTCAGTTACGGTCACGATTGCTCTTTTGCAAATAACATGTAGACCAGGGCTTCTCAGACTTTCTCAGATCTTTGTTCAAAATCGAAGATCCGGAACACTTTTCAATAACAAAACAGTATCTCACGAATTTTAATGAATTAACAATGACGTTTGATATAGACATCAATATATAACAGAAATGGGAAATTTTAACGCTCGTTTGGGAGGGGCGGGGGGCAGGGGGATCATGACTTTATGAGCTTTTTTACGTTACTCGCATTGATTCATAAGGTGCATTATTGCTTATGGAAGTTTTACGCAAAAAAAATATTCTGAGGGCAGAAAGAAAGATGATTGGTTCAGAGAGATAACCAGTCAGATTGTACAGGAAGTGGGTCCAAGAAGCTAGATGAGGAAGGACCAACCAATCAGATGTCTTGGTCCTGCCTCATGAAGTTGCGTGGACCCACCTCCTCTACAATCTGATTGGTTATCTCTCTGAAATAGTCACTTTTCATTCTGCCCTAAGAACATTTTTGCGCAAGTAGAACTCCTACGAGCTACATTATCGGCTGGGTCCAGATTAACTTGCGGTTTGCACCTCATCCGGACCGCATTCGGGATTATGAGAACCTGCGACGTAGAACATCCACAGTCTAAAAAGAAATGCAACAGCTGGAAAGAAAGAATTTTGGGACTGTTAGTGACCATCTGTTTTTAAGGCACCATGAAAAGCTCAGCTACTGATACATTGATTTCTGGCTGTTCCGCTTCAGGTATAAATACAACATATGTTCTTTGTAAAAAATAAATGCAGGTTTATAAAAAAAATGAAGCCTAACAACAGCCATTTTGGAATACTATTTTGTTTTTGCTGAGAAAGTATGCTGTATTTTTCAGTCAAAAGACCAGCTGTAGCACAGAGGAGTTCTGCAGTAATATAGACGGTATGAAGTGGAAGTGTCAGTGTTTTTTTCTCCGTCTCAGCTCTCAGCTTTCATGTTTGAAGCCCTGCTGTACTGGAATGATTTGATATGACAGATATTTAGATATTCAGTTACAGGCTTCGAAGGTCAGCTCTACTCTGGAAAAAAAAACCTCTGCTTCAGTAAACAATGGAAATAGACTGAATCAAAATAAAAAGCCATTCAAATACCCCGGGAATACATATTCACAAGTAATATATTAATATCAGAGTTGTTCCTAACTTTTGTGTTGTATTGTAGATAACTAAAAGCATAATTTTGGTATTGCTGTTATTGGCGGGTGACACTTGGTACAGGGTTTGAGTGTCTGCCATGGTCACGGGTGGAGTTTGCTTGTTGCATGTTGTTGTGGGGTTTCCTGAGGTTAATTGTTGCTAAATTGCCCATAGGTGTGCATGTATGAGTGAATGGTGTGTGAGTGTGTGTGCCCTGCAAGGGGTTGGTGCCCCATCCTCCATTGTTCCCTGCCTTGCACCCATGGGCTCCAGACCCCCCCATGACCCTGAATAGAACAAGCATTTTCAGGAATTGGATGTCATCTGCAGGAAGATATGTCACACAAAATACCTATACATAAGGCAGCTGCAGATTTTAAATGTGTTCTAAATTTTGGTGTGTCGCAAATTTTATATTCTGGCATTAGGAAAAAAAGTGCAGTTTCTTCAAAAAATGCTGTTTCTGATTTTGACATAAATTTCCAGAGCAAAGAATTATTACGAAATCTGCAAATCATTCATTATATCTCAGACTATATTTGCCAATAGTATGTCACATGCTTGTTTGTTCATGCCTGGGTTATGATTTAGGTTTTAAAAAGAATTTTTTTTTGCAGTAATCTGGCAGGTTATATGTACAACCAAATAATCTGAACTAGATTAGCTTGAACAGATAATAAGATGCTATGAATGCTGAAACTGCCATAGCAAATTTTGAATATTATAGACCTCAGATTTACTCTTTACTTTAGCATGTGGGCGAATGTGTCTGTTTTGGCCCATGAGTCGACTTATGCTACCCAAACATTACACATTTATATGTAATTGCACACATCTGTGGTCAGATTTTGGCAGGGTGATCTTATCTGCAGAAGCATTTTAATTGTAAGATCAACTCAGGAACAAGAACAAAGGTTCTGAAAAATGCACCAAGTAGATATTATCTATCCGATTTCTCTTTGTTAATCAGGGTTGCCAACTCTCACACATCTGGCGTGACGCTCACACTTTCAGATTCTGACGCTCACGCAAGAAATCTTACGGCAAATCTATATTATTCCATTATAAACCTATCATTACTTACATCTTAGGCACTGGGGCAATTTTCAAACCCCACAGACTATTTACAAGGTAATGAACATACGTGAAAATGCGTGTGCATGTGTGTGCGGACTGGTCTCCAATCACAAATCTCACTCCAGCTAGCTGACTAAAGTTGGCAGCCCTGTAATCATAACCACACAAACCATCGCAGTGCTAAGCTTTGAAAAGCAGAATTTCATTTTGTTGTAGTCAAATTCAGTTTTCATTTATTTTATTTTATTTTATTTATTGACTTGTAGTAGAGTGAAAAATTAAGGGAAAATATCCCTTACAATATATATCACTTACAATGCAGCTATCAAGGAGGACATCAGTTAGGGATTAGCTGTTACAAACCTCGGCCACCTGACCGGCACCTATTTTAAATAATAGAGAAAAAAGCGTACACGGCATTTTCAAAGCAGCGATTTTAATGCCGTACACCTCTATGATTTATTTGGCTTTTGTTGATTCTGTCTCCCCTATTCAAAGAGAAATATGAAACATGCTAATTTGCAGCGCGTGATCTGGAAAGTACAGCCATATTTCCAAAGCATACAGTCCTGCAGTTTAAATTACATCAATTAGCTCTAAGGAAATATAATATTGCCACAAGTGCCGAGCCTCTGGAATTTATTTGCTAATTTGGACGTAATGCGTTAATGCAGAGGCTTATGATGATGCAACTTGTCTAAAACTAATGTTTGCTTGCAGAGCAGTAAGGGATAATATTTTGCTAAAAATCAATTAGAACATGATAGAAATGTAATAAAAAAGAATAGATGATGGTTAAACAGACACTATCCTAGCCAGTTTGGGGGATAAATTCCCCTTTTAAGATTAAATCCCTAATGTCTGTGTTTATGTGCCCATTTAAAGGGGTGGCACCGCTGACCTTCAGTACAGGTCATGTGGTCAGTTATCACATGGTTACACTGATGATGTTTAAATATGGTTGTTCAAACAGTTATGCATCCACATGGTTGTGGTTCACTTCAGAATGCAAGGCCAAATTTGGCAGCATTTGGAAAAATTGAAGTGTATTTCCTTGTAATACTAAAAGGCTTTACTCAAAATCTGCGAATATTCCTACAGTCGTTTGATTTTTTGTGTCTAGTCCTGTCCTCAACCTTGGACTTGCTGGACCTCAGTGATCCCAACGAGAGGAAAAATTGCAACGAGAGGAAGAATCTAATGGCTATGAGCGGAGACGGCCCCAAGAGCGCCCCCCACAGGAAGAGACCCGATGAGACGGAGCTGATCCAGGTGGACGTAGAACAAAGTGCCACTTGCTGCCAGACACCTGAGAGGATGGCGCTGGACTCAGGTGCTCAGTCGCAAATAGTGCAATCAAAAATCACTCAGTCTTAATAAGTAACAAAGGAATAACTCAGTGACAGTTACAGTCCACAGAAGTTTTGGATTTACTTTCTATGGACTTTTGATTAGGAAAAATGGTTATGCTATGGGCATAGCATACCCCTATGCTGTGGGTTGGATCTTTGAATCCTTCCCGTGTGTGTCTCTGTGTGTGCATTTTTTTTTTTTAAATGATTACATTGTGGGGACCAAATTTCTCCGCAACGTTATAAAAACCTGTAACTTTTAACCCTGTGAGGAAATTTTTCGGTTCCCGCAAGGATAACAAAAATTTTATAAAAATCTGTGACTGCGATCAAAAAACTAAAAAGTTTTGTATTATGTAAGTATGGGCTAGTCCACATTTTGTTCAGTTGGGATCCGATTCCGATACTGCCGATGCCCTATACAGATTACGGTACAAGAGCTCTACTTTAATATTTTAATTATATAGTTTAAATATTATTGTTTTGTAACTAGTACATATGAATAAAAAAAAATGTTTAATTAGAAAAATACATAACGTACTGTTTCATTGTTAGCATTCAGCTTGAATCAATGAATGTCGCAAAAATACATCTAGAGCTGTGAAAGAGCTGTCGTGCTATTGGTTGTACAAATAAATTTAATACGAAATAGGAGCTGTCTTTCTGGAGACTGCCAAAAACTAAATAAGTAAGTATCGGAGTTACTATTGGCAAGTAATACCCGATCCGTGAAATAGATCTGGATCAGTTCCGATCGCGCACGTGCGCTTTTTGTAATCATTACATTGTGGGAACCAGATTTTCCTACAATGCGATAAAAATCTGTAACTTTTTATCCTGTGGAGACATTTTTTTCAATCCCCACAAGGATAACCTTTTTTTTTTCTTTTAATTGTATGCGTGTTTGCCTGCATATGTGCCTGCATGCTTGTCTGTGTGTTTTAGGGACTGACAGATCTGAACTTCAAATAGCAGGTAATATGGGTTCATTTAAAACAGTCTATGCCAGACAAAATGGGTTGTAAAAAGGAAAAAATGTAATAAGACATTATATCTCTTACAGGATACTGATACAGCAACTCTATACTGAGGTTGTGGGTCTTATAACTTGAATGATTGTCCTTTTTCAAGGTTTTTGCAGAAGTTAATGTCCTATCATGAATCTTGCATGATGCCACTTGGACTTGAAGTTTCAGCAATAAACTAGCAACTTGATTTCCTCATGGTATGTTTCAGTCAATAATTCCTGTCCCTTGGAGAAATGGGAGGAGCTGAACCTCTACCCTGAGAGAAACAGCAGCAGGAAATGGAAACTGGAAAAAAGGCATTCATCAAAAAATTCCTCAAACGAATTCCTTTGGTAAGCAGTGCTCTCCCGCACGGAATTTCACCCGCTAGGTCCTTCATTTAGTGTCTTGTGTTCCTTTGTGATTGCAAACTCATACTGCCTTCAAGTAAAATGGCACAGGTTTGTATGTATGTAAAAGCTCAAAAACAATGAACTGCATAAATAATGATCTGTACTACAGAGTATGTGTAATTTGTCAAAAGTAACACATTGCAGTCAGAAAATGTTCACGTATGGCTATGGCATACAACGTTCATTGTTCTTCATAACTACTCATGATGACTCGGATGATTGTATATATTTGTTAAGCATTCACACAATACTCATTCCCGTAAACTGTGTACTGTATATGCAGATCAAATTTGGATTTACAGTCCTCTTCGTTCGTATGTCTGAAAGTTCGTAAGTTGAAAGTTCGTAAGTAGAGGAGCGTCTGTATATAATAATCTCTTGAAATTTTGAGCAACCTAAACGATTTAATAAAACTATAAAGCAGAAGCGTGAACAATCTCTAAAAATTCCCAGGTTGAATGTACCCAGACGTAAGCGAGAATTCGATTAAAATCTAATACCCCTGAAATCGAACATTTCTTCCTGTTCTGAAAACTCTAATTTCACGAGGGATTTTACAATTATAAAGGTGCATTTGCAACTCTGAAAATGCATGGTGTACCCTAAAGTGTAGTTACAGAAATATGGCAGGTCGTCGCTGAAAGCAATTCCACACAGAAAGAGGAGATTCATGATTTTCATTATCTATGTGCAGGTCCTCAGAGTACAAGACTGCATCAGAGTCAGCCACAAGAAACACATTTGAAATTAACGCCAATGCTGAAGCGGAGCCTTTTCATTTTTCTCAGGTAAACACTTTTCTGTCATGATCTGCATGGCCATTATTTATGATAAATAATGAAACACCCGCACTGAAAAGTGTCACCTCATTATTTTAAAATGCATTGAAAATCTCCTCCAGCTTAGAAAGAGGTTTAGGTCAGTGTTTCTCAATCCGGTCCTTAGGAACCCCCAGACGGTCCATGTTTTTGCTCCCTCCCAGCTCCTTGCCAGACAGTCTTACCAGAAGCTGGGAGGGAGCAAAAACATGAACTGTCTGTGCATCCCTGAGGACTGGATTGAGAAACACTCGTTTAGGTAAATCTAGGCCTTGTGTTCTGTACCCCATGTACAATTGTCTTCATTTGGAGCCTGTAAGTCATGTATTGAGAACCTTGAACAGAGTAAGCAGCTTTATCAGAAAACCTAATTAACTGCAGTTTCCCACTTTGGGTGGGCTGCACTTGCATCGCCATGTCAATACAGGGTTCTCAATCAAAATACCTTGAAAGGGAAGGAGTGGACTTTATTCCTTTCAAGTAGACTTTCTTTGAAGCTTGGAGAGCTTATTGTAAGGCTTCTGGCAGACTTGACCAAGTCCATGCAACCCTCAGTGAGGCAGAGGCCAGCAATGCTGCGTGATGTCGCTCCTATTTTGCTGCGTAGCACATGTTTTTCACAAAGTAGTATTCAGAGCTTAAAATTTCCATCGAAGCTCCTCGACCTTGTAACCTTTAACCATCTGGTCAAAAGGTTTATTTTGCACTTTGCACGACTGGCTCACCCCTGTAAAGTTCACAGTATTACGAGAAGACAGCCTTCACACTGTGGTGCAGCCCGGCTGACTGGTACTCATGACTTTCAAATTAAGAGGGAGGGTGAGAGAGCGGCCGAACTGAGATCAGTCTCCGGTTTGATGTGGGCCGCGGTTCTGCGGCCTCCTTGGTAAGTCATAGCGCAGTGAAGGCAGTTGTGCCCCACTGCGCGTAAAGGGGGAAACGGCTGACCGGGCACATCTGTCTGACACCACTCAGGGCCGCTTGAGCAAGGAGCAAAGGTGGGGCAGCACCCTACTGTCCCGAAACCAGTCCTTGGAGGAGGAGTTTGAGCGAGCCAAAGCAGCAGTGGAGGTAAGCGTCCCCTTGGTCGTTAAACCGGTATTTAATGACATTAATCCACTCTGATATTCATCAAACATTTAGACAGTCTGTAAATACAGATGGCCGTTTTAAAAAATAAGGGTTATTACCATGCTTGAGGGTATTAATGGGTACAGTGTTTCTTTCTAAGGAAATTTACTGATCGTACAATTAAAACCATAAAGAGCTTTTTACCAAACTGGTCAGAGTATGTGCCATGGCCCAGTGCATAATAGTGTTTCCCTCCCCAGGATATGCACCTCCCATATTTCCTGCTATACTTGTGATGCCCTTTTTTTTTTACATTTTTTTTGCCTTTAATGCTGCCTGGATCTTTCAAGGGATGAATTACTCCTTTTGGCTGAATTTCAGGCACTGAATGTAAATATAAATAGCACATACCTTGAATGATCTCACATGATATCTTAAACGAACGGGACGCCTTTCCGTCATACAGCAATGGGAGGGTTAATTAGGTCAAATATATCTGTACCGAACATATCAGTTTCAGGCCCAGTTCCAGTTGCAGTAATCGGACACCACATACTGGATTATTGCAAGGCTCTGGCCCACAAATTACAGCTCTAGGTTCTAGAACTTACAGTATATTTACTATGGAGCAGAGTAGCAGTATATAAAAATCTGATGTGAAATACATTTGGATACAAACTCCTTTAAAGTGTTTTTCACTGCATTTTTCTTTTCTTTCCTGCACTCATCGTAGCGCTTGGTATTTGGTCACATGTTTACTGGGTTCCTGCCCAAGGGACGCAGGGCCCTGCTTGTGATGTGCATAAAGTGCTGTTGCCTGAAATTTTGTCACGTCATGACAGCACCAGCGAGCTTGCACCAATGCTTTATAACTTTCTCCACAAATCTTCGCAAGACTTTTCCATCCGTTGCTTCTTTCTTGTGACCAAAACTGGAAATAGCTGAAGTTCCTTCTGTCTTCGCCGTAGAGGAAGCAGGTTGCGCAGTGTTCCAAGCTTCTTGCTGTAGCTATGATAAATCACCTTATGCTGAGCTCCACTGTGCACGGAAGGTACAGGCACCAGGGTCCTGGAACCATGCTAGAGCAACATTTGAAGCTACCTGTTCAGGTCCAGGTTTGTACAAAGCCTAGATGATGGCCTGTCTCCTTAATCGTCACAGACTTCTCAAAATAACCTGCTCTGTACAGTACCTTCGTCCATCTGTTTACTCCATATAGAGTTATCATAAGCCTGGAGCCCCTCCCAGGAAGTACGTTGGTAGGGGGGTTTCTGAGCGGGAGGCCAGTTCATTACAAGGTTCAGAGACATCGATTCACCTAAAGTTTTTGAACAGGGGAGATGATCTCCTTGGAGTACTGGTCCTTTCACCTACCTTTTCTCCATGAGACACACTTACAGGTGAGAGCTAGTTTTAGGGAGGGGGGGTTATAGCTCAGGGTCAGCCAGTATACAGCATCCCAGGAGCTGGGGGGGGGGGGGGGGGGGGGGGGG